CAAGAAGCCCGGCGGGGGAAGGGGGGAGGGGGTGGCTGGGGCGTCGACCTGCATCCGGGGATGCCATTCATTGACAGCGAGCTTTCCTCGGCCGCCCCGCCGGCAGGATGTTCGGAATACAGCTGCCTTTAAAATTGACGTACAAAGTTCATTAAACATGATTCTGAACCGTGTGAAGGCGTGCAGGACGCTCGTTTGTAAGATTTTGCGAAATGCCACATATACTGCGATTCAGGATGGATGGTTGCTGGCGGTGGTTGGTTGGTGACGGCCGACTACCTGACTCTGTCCCGAGGTTCCGGCAGGGGTGGAGGGACCCGCTCCGGGCGGCAGAAATACAGACCAGGGGTTGACTCAGTCATACTGCTAGTTTCTCGCTCGCACCCGCGCCGCATCCTCGCTCGCTCCTTGTCCGACGCGCCGCCCCCTCCACCGCGCCCACGCGCGAGTGGGGGGAGCGGGCGGACTGGAGTCGAGGGTGTCGGCCGCCGAGCAGTGCAGCGGCAGCGGATAGTGGATGCAGCTGGACTGCTCCTTCTCCAGATGGCACGGTGGCGTGGTGGTACCGCCTCGGGTCGGCATGCTGCCGGCTTGAGTTCAACTCCCTGCACCGTTTTTATTTTCGGTCGCGTTAGGGCGGTGTTCCCGCAAGATAGATCTGACGCGAGTAGAGTAAGATCTACCCCGAGTAGAGAAAGATCTGCCGCGAGTAGAGTAAGATCTACCCCGAGTAGAGTAAGATCTACCCCGAGTAGAGAAAGATCTGCCGCGAGTAGAGTAAGATCTGCCGCGAGTAGAGTAAGATCTGCCGCGAGTAGAGTAAGATCTGCCCCGAGTAGAGTAAGATCTGTCGCGAGCCCGTTAGGTTAGGTTAGGATGGGTTGGAACCTATTTAGTTGCTGGTAAGAGCTGGTCACAATCCCGAGTACTTGCAGCTCGGAGCGCGGCGGCCGGTGCGGTGATGCGGGGCCTGCGAAGAAGGTGGAGGGGGCGCGTGGACGCGGTGGAGGGGGCGGCGCGTCGGACAAGGAGCGAGCGAGGATGCGGCGCGGGTGCGAGCGAGAAACTAACAGTATGACTGAGTCAACCCCTGGTCTGTATTTGTGCCCCCGGGCGGGGCCGCGCCGCCAGGGCCGCCCTGAGGACAGTCGAGCCACCTGGTACACCGGAGCCTTCTCGGAAGACGAGCCGAGACTCATTAGCATAAATCTAGGAAAATTTGTTTCTAACGATTTGAGAGTTAAACAAAAAACATTTTTAGATTCCTTACAAAATGAGGAACAAGGACATGTTTTGAATCATGTTTCTACGACGCTCCGTCCGTTTGAACGTTGACAGGAGGGTGCTTTGTTTTAACACTAAGTAGCGGGCATCACGCAAGTCATCCCTTCAAAAATATTTCAGCCCCACTACCTTGAACTTGAGCTTGCTTGGTGCTTCGCAGTCTTACATTAAAGTTCAAAATTTTTGGCTTTACTTAGGAAATTACGAAAATTTTTGTGATTTTCCGAGAATTTTTGAAAAATTTTCAGAAATTTTCAGAAATTTTGAGACATTTTCGAAATTTTTTAGAATTTTTGGAAATTTTTGAAAATTTTCAAAAAAGTTTGCATTTTTACAATTTTTTTAAATTTTTTGAAAATTTTCAAAATTATGAAATTTTTTGAGAATTTTTGTAAATTTGTAAAATTTTTGAAGCATTAAATTTTTGGTGTACAAAAAAAAGGGGAGTTGTTTCCCCCTCGGTGCCGGTTACTCCGGACCGCAGTGCAGCAGCAGAGGTGGTTCTCCACGCGGGCACCTCTCGGTCGCTGTAACGAGACGACGGGGCGGCGGGGGCGGCGGGGGCGGCGGGGGCGGCGGGGGCGGCGGGGGCGGCGGGGGCGGGTCAAAAGGGTGCTTTCGTCCTCTCAAAGGCTACCCACCTGGCGCTAGGGCCTGCGCCCAGGGCCAGTGCGCTCTCTCCTCTCTCTCTCCCGCACTTGCAGGGTGGCGGAAGAGGTGCGAGGGAGACAGAGCGAGGGAACGACTCAGTCCACAGGGCGCTGGCGGAGAAAAGCAGAATCAAAGGCAACCGTCCGTGCGGAACGCAACGCGCAGAACGAGGCACTGCCAGGGCACTGCTGAGCGCACCGCCTGCGGAGTGGGCCGGCCCGGCCGGCGCGCCAGCGCAGCGAGTTGCCTACCCGCCCGTCCGCTCGCCCCACTGGCATACAACTCCAGCAGCTCCTTGACTCTCTCGTACCCACACGTGGGACCGCAACGGGTGCGAGAAAGGCAGACAGGGCGTGCCAATGACTTATTCTTGCGCCGGCCCCGCTTCTTGGCAAGGGCCGTGCCTTGGGCCGTGTCTTGGGCCGTGCTTGCGCCGGGCCCGGCCGGGCCGACAACGTCGTATTGGAGCGGAGCGAGGGCGACACGCCACTCGTGTACTCTGTCGCGTCGTGTGTGTGTGTGAGAGAGAGAGAGAGAGAGAGAGAGAGAGAGAGAGAGAGAGAGAGAGAGAGAGAGAGAGAGAGAGAGAGAGAGAGAGAGCGTGAGCCGGCCGGCCTAGTCCTGAGCCTGGGCTGGGCCCGCTGGGGCCCGCTGGGTGCGAGAGGCGACGAGCGAGGCTGGGTGCTGTGGATATAATGCCGCTCATTTAGCGTGGTGGGTTCCTGTAAGTTTGGCTCGTCAGTGTCAGGCCTGGGCTCGGGCTGAGCCCGGCCCCTCGCAGCAGACTCAGCAGCAGGGCCGGCGGCTCAAACTTTGTCCGTCGTGCTGGCCGTGCAGGCCGGGCCCGTCCCGGCGTTCCGCGCCACGGGGGCGGATGGGTGCTGCGCGCCACCGCATAAACAGAGGCACCGTGCGTGGCGCTGTCAGGGAATGACCAAGGCCCTCTCGATGACGCGGCGGTGCTGCGCCAGCGCGCCAGCCCGTCGTCCCATGGTCGACACGTCAGCGTTCGCGCGCTGCCGACGACGACCGTGATGTCGTGCTCCACCCCGTCCACTCTACTTTTATATCTTTTTTTTTTTTGGTCCGGTAAGAGATTAAAGTTTGCGGCTAATTTGCGCGGGTCGCTGCGCTAAAGCACGCCTAAGCGGTGTTGGTGTTGTTTCGGACCCCGATGGCCCGATAAGCGGGCGTAAGCGTGTGCCGGTCAATTTAAAAGGTGTTTACGCGAAGGGCACCGCGGTGGGTATGCAAGCGGGGCGGTCCCCCTCCCCTTCCCAGCCCCGTCCCTTGAACACATTATCGGCAGGGCTTCCTTCCCGATCGCAGCTGGCTCCGTGACGTGCCGTGCATCGCAAGGAGGCGGCGTCTGCAGTCGAGAGAAAGTAAAAAAGGGAAGGCGTGTGAGAGAGAGAGAGAAAGAAAGAGAAAAGCCGCAACTCGTTTTTCGTTTCCAGTTTTCGCGCGCCCCTCTCGCCCGATATCTCCCCGCTGCGGTTCCGCGGCTCCGCGGCGGTGCGGCGAAGTGGGATGCGGTGCAACGAGGAAGAGGACCCTCTGCTCCGCGTCCTCCACACCCGGCGTGCCGCCGCGGAGACGTCCCAACCTATATCTTCTGCGGTGTGTCAAATTTGATTCGCATTTGCATCCCGATCCCAGCGGAAGGCGTCGTCGTCGTCGTGATGTCGCCCCGATCCGTTGGGCCGCTGCGGGTGTGGTGGTGTGCCGGGCGGTGCGACCGGCTTAATCCCCCTGAACCCGCCTCGGGGACCTGCTACAGTGGCCCGCCACGCCGCTACAGGCTACACGCCGGCAGAGACCGCCGCCTGGGGGGCACTGAAGCAGTGCAAGTGTGCGGGGGCGCGGCGGCGAGGCGTGGCCCCGGCGTGGGGGGTGGGGGGGCCACAAGCTGCTGCTGCACCCGGACTGCTCACAATCGCCTCGACAAAAGCAAAGGCCCTCGCGGGGGCGCAAGATGCGCAGACATCAGATCGGCGTGGAGCCAGGGCGGGGCCGGGCGTGGCGTGCACTACAGCTCCCCGCCGATGCGGCACGGCGCGGCACGGCGCGGCACGGCGAGCCACGGCCAGGCACCGCCCCATAAGGTGCCTGTTTGCGAGCTCGTGGGCTATTTGTTTTATTTTCGCGTGGGCTATCTCGACCCGGTCTGGACCCGGCCTCGGCCCCAGGCTTCTTTGCGCACCCCCTATGAGCACGCCGTCCTCCGGTCTCGGCCAGGGCGCCCAGGGTGGCCGTGGCGTGTCGGGGGTCGATGGTCCGCCACCACGGCCTCGGCCACCACCTCGCACCTGTGCGGTGTGAACGTGGTGCCCCGCCCCGCCGTGCCCCGACAGTGTAAAGGGAATTGGTAATGCATGCTTCGGTGTTTCGGCACCTTTGCGTTGCAGCAGCCCCGGCTAGCCGGGGTCCCGGTCCTGTGGGAACGGCGCGCCTCCTGCGGGGGAAAAGGGACCGGCGCGTCAAAGAGAACCGTGCCGACCGTGCCGTGCCGACCGTGCCGACCGTGCACGACTCCTTTTTTTCCACCCAAGTTTTCATCGCATAAAAAATTAGCGCGGTTTTATCGCGACGGTGTACCAGCACCGCCTGAGCCTTTGCATTCCCCGGGGGACTGACACGGCTTTGAGTTACCGGCTCGTTTTGCGGAAACTTTTAAAAACGGGCAGATAAAGCGAAAAGGAGCGGCGAGGAGGAGACGAGGGCGATAAGAGGTGAAATGTATCTCGCAGTTGTTGTCGGCGAAAGTGAAATCACGACTAAGTGGAGGGGAGGAGGAATTAAGCGCCGCTTCCGGCAGTTAATCAAGGGGCTTTGCTTTGCGCTTTGCGCGGTACACTGGAGCACTGAAATCGAGCCAACGTCTCAGCCGGCAGGGCGAAAGTCTTGGCGGGGCGCGGCGAGGCTGGGTGAGGCTCGCTCGCAACCTCGTCTCTCCGCTCCGCCAACAAACTCCGCGCCTCGCCTTGCCGCGCCGCGCTGCAGCCCGCCGCCAAGTGTTGGCTAACAATCACAATGACAGTGTGCTGGATTGCTTCGTGCTCCAGGTGGTCGCAGGGCCTGCTGTTCCACCAGGCCGTGGTGGACGGGTGCCGGGCGGCCATTCTGCTGCCGCTCGGCATCAGCATCTACTACTGCCAGCCCGTGCAGAAGTGCTCGCTCGTCGAGACGGCCTTCCTCCTGCTCGTGACCGTCTCCACCGTCAACATGCTCACCACCGTCCTCAACGACTCGCCCGTCTTCCCCAACGACGAGGACGACGAGATGACGGACCTCACGGCCCCGCTGCTCATGGACTCGCCGCAGGTAAGTCTGCCTCTCTCGCTCTCACGGCGTTCCCGAAGAGCGCGAGAGAGACAGAGCGACACCTGTGTTGCAGTGCGTCCTGTTCGGCGTGTTCATGATCTGGTTCGCGTCCATCACCATCAACCTGGGCCCCACGTTCCTGAGCGGCGCGCTGGCCGCCAACTCGGAGGCGGGGCACAACGCGCCGTCCTGCCCGCTGGTGCACGGCCCGCTGCGGCACTACGTGCTCAACCTCCTGTGGATCATCATCAACGTCATCTGCGTGGGGCTGACCCTGTTCCACCTGCACAAGGTGAGCGTGGCGTCGCCGCCCCGCCCTCTCCCCACAGTGTGCTCACCGTGCTCACCGTGCTCTCTGCTGCAGCTGCACCGCGACCTCACCAAGGCCAACGTGGAGGCCGTGCGGGTGGCCGGGCTCGTCACCACCCTGGTCAGCGTCACGGGCGGCGGCGGCGGCCTCGGCGGCCTCAGCGGCCCGACGAGTCAAGGGGGACCCCCACGGGTGAGGACCTGAACCAGAGGACTTGAGGACGAGGACGAGGGCAGCAGGGTGCGTCGTCCTCGTCGCCCTCGTCGCCCTCGGCGCGATCAATCATGCTTCAGTCCGGCGCAGGACGGCGGCGGGGCGTCCGTGGCCTGTAATCCGCAGCCCGGGACACATTACCACCCTCCATGTTGTCGTGGCCGACGTGGCCGACGTGGCCGACGTGGCCAGCCAGATGCTAAAGTGGCCCCCAACTTTTAAGTACCCCAAACTTGGCTCATTTTCTGTACGCGTCATCGTGTCACGCCGCGTGGTGGTCTTATCCGGTCTTATCCCCCTCGACCTCTCGCGCGCGCGCAGCCGCGCGATATTGCAAGAGGGCGGAGGGAACTTGATTGGAGGGCCCAGGGCCTGTGGGGCAGCGGTTCGTTTTAAATTTACTCTTTTTACAAGAGTGAATTTTTAAAAAAATAAAAAAATACCAGCACCGCGATTTGAACCTTCGTCCAGCACTTTACCAGCCTCACTCTGAACGGAACTCCGATATTCCACCAGAGTCCCTTCCGCCTACCCTGCCATGCGCGCCTCATCTCCCTGACCTGGGACTGGGATCGAAACCCGCTCGCGGCCAACTTGTTTTTCTCTGCCGCAGCCCGGCGGCGCGCTGGACGAGCACCGGCGCATGAGGAACTACCTGAAGCGCATGGAGCGCGAGGGCGTGCAGCGCGTCAAGATGTTCCTCGTCATCACCGGCGCCTACGTGCTGTTCTGGGGGCCACTGTTCTTCGTCACGCTGGTGCACCACCCGCTCATCGTCAGCCCCATGGGCTATGAGGTGAGTTGCCACCGGCGGCGGCAGCCGGCCCGCCAGACAAGAGGGACAACAAATCTGGCAGGCCGGGGATTTTTAAAGGTCGTCTCTGGAGCCGGCCGGCTGGGGTGGGGGTGGGCCGGCACGGCACTGTAATGACTCTCCAAATGAAATGCCCCCCTTGCATTAAGCCCCAAGTGTCACTTGCAACTTACGGCACGACCGGCCCGGAATCCATCTTCATTATTAGATAAGTTTTGCGGCACCAACTTAGGCCTGGAGGCCGGGCCCCGCCAGCCCTGCCTGGCCGCCAGCCCCGCGTGAAGGCAGCGCCAGCCTGCCGAGCCCGCGTCCCTCAGAATAAAATCTCACGGCGGAGGCGCTAATGAACGAACCATTCGCCGCCTGCAGGCTCGCGCTGTCTCTCCCGCACTCACGGGGCGTCCCGGTCGGGGAGACAGACAGATCCTAATCGCGGACTAATGAACGGACTGCCTGACCTTGCTCGCCCTACTGGTCTCGCAGATAACCCTGCACGTGGCGTACGTCCACGCCTTCGTGAACCCCACGCTGTTCCTGGTGCTGCACCGCGGGCTGCGCGGCGCCGCGCTGGACGTGTGCTGCGGCTGCTGCCTGTTCCTGGCGGACTGGGTCCTGGGCGCGGCCGGCGTGGACCGCCCCCACAGTGGCTACGCGCCGCACCGCAGCCGGCGCAGCCGCCACCCGGTGGCCGCGGACGGTGAGCGGCCTTCGCCGACGGGCTCCGTGGACCTGCCGCCGCCGCCGCACCCGCCCGCCAGCTCCGTCAGCGAGATCTCGCTGCTCAAGCAGAAGAGCTCCTCCACGACGGACGTGGGCGTCATGACGCAACCCATCGTGCCCATCGACCACCCCATCCTGACGGCGAACGCCCAGAGCCTGGTAAATGGCACCTATATGTGAGTAAACCACACACTCACACACCCACGACCGCCTGTCCTGCGTGCGCCTGCCTGCCTCTGTGCCTTTCCGAATCGTGTCCACGGGCAAGTTTGACGACGACCAGTCGTCTCGTCGCGACCGTTTCCGCCGGTTTGCCCGGTTCGCAGCGTCCTCGCTGACGTCATTTTCGCTCCTTTCACCGCGTCTGTCTTACCCGTCCTCGCCACCCTCGCCGCCTAGCAGCAGTGCATGTGTGTGTGTGCGTGTGTGTGTCTGCTCTGCAAGTCTAACCTGTTTCTCTATTTGTTTATCCTCCTTTTTGTTACTGCTGGTTGTTTGCAGAGTCTGCTTCATGTTCATAATGCCCCACTTTCCTCAAGCTTCCAGCCCGACGGCTGCCCCGCTCCTTTGGTGGTCTATCTCTCTCACTCTCTCTGTCTTGCACCCTGTAAATCTTGGACGCAGCGCCTCACCTGTAGATTTCTTTTTCTCTCTCCCCTGAATGTATTTTGTTATTTTGTTGTGTTTCTTGGTTCTGGAACACTTTTTTTCAGGATGAGAAACGACAGCAACAAAGTAAGTTGCCCATTCGATTTTATTCTCTCCATTCTTGTTGAACATGTTGTCGAAGGCGACGGCGGTAGATTAGTCGACAACGAGATGGGCATAATCGGTTACCTTGTCCACGCAGGCTGTTCCAGCGGTTCCATCCCCCTCTAACCTCCCCCCCCCCTCTCTCCCTCTGTGCCGGCGACAAGCCCTTCGGATATTATTGGCGCGGCGGTCCATTAGCATGCACTGTGGCTGTGGCCCGCCCCATGCATATGCATCGCCAAGTTGTGGCGCGAAAATCGTTACTACAACAACAAGAGCGTAACACCGCGCCGCCGTGCCGCGCCGCCGTGCCGCGCCGCTCCGACTGGCTTCTTGCCCCATTCGACTCGATTCACACCGGTGGCTCCTCGTAGCCGCGTAGCCGCGCCTCCGATACGATAAGCACACCGATACTCCGTTATATGTGAGTGCGGTTCGGGGAGAGGAGGCCCACTCTCCTGGAGGCCTCAGTATTGACACGGCGGAGAGCCTTGCCGTGTTGCGGAGATGTGCATCCCTACCTGGATCAACAAGACTTGGACCCCGCACTCCTTGAGGCCCACCACGCCTTTTTCCAGACCCCCCCCCCACCGCGGGCCGCTCAGGCGGTTAAAGCGTTCCAACAACTTCCCCGCTCCAAATTTACAGACCGACTCGAGGAAACAAGACACCTCGGCCTGCCCGCCGAGCTCAGCACAACGACTTGCGGGAGGAAAATTCCTCACTTCTTGTGCGCGAGAGAGCAGCTTCGCCCTCACCAGGCTTTACTGCCGAGGAGGGAGAGAGAAGGGGGCACTCTCACCTGCACAGCCCGGCACAGCCACCCCCCGTTATCACACGAGCTTCACACACACTGTTGGAAATGAGTCGTAAATTAGGGGCGCCATCTTGTAGAGCCCTAAATTGATGGGGCGGCCGTATAACGCTGCAGCGACCGGGGGGGGGGGGGGGCTGGTGCTGCCTCGGCCCCTGCATGCTTCTTTTTTCTCCCGTAGGGACGTGTGGAGGAAAAACGTATGAGTGAGCGAACTGGCGGAGGAGTAAAGTAAGTACCCTTCGAGAGGAGAGCTTGCTGAAATTTAAAAACAAATGCCCTTCCCGAAAGTTCGAGCTTTGCACGGCGTTTGGGTTGAGCAAACGATGATCACCGCTGCGACCTTCACCTTCAACCTTTTCCCTCCCGGTCTGTGATTACCGACTCCACTTCAGCGCTGGTCCGCGAAGTTGGTCAAAACGTGTGTAAACTTGGAACGCGCTGAAACGACTCCGCCCCGCGGCGACACGGCCTTGTTAGCGGGAAATGTTTCCTCCTTGCGCATTTTTCCTCATCCGACAAACGTCGAATCCGCCGGAGTTCGTCTTGTCGGCGCGGCCGGGGACGCCGGTTAAAACATGTCCCTGTTGTGGGCCGGTTGGCAAATTAGGCAGAGGAACTCGCTGGCTTCTTGCAGAAGGAAAACCAGCAGTTTAATGGAGGTTTACTCCTCGGCAAGCACTCCCGCAAGGCCAGGCCAGGCCAGGCGAGGCCACGTGGAACAGCAAGACCCCAGCGAACTTCGCCGTGCCGTGCCGCACCCTGGCCCCGCTGCTCGCTGTAGACCTTTTTTGTTTACCACTCGTCAATTTTTCACCACTCCCGGCCGGCCTGCGCGCAGCCAGCGCAGCCCGGCTACGTGCAGTGATGGGTCATAACAAGCCGAAGTGGCTCCTTTTTTTTCCGCCGTCGCTCCCGCCTCGCTTGGCTGGACTGAGAACCGAGAAAGCAAGACTGGGCAAAAATACATCGTCTGCGAAGATGCGCCGCCATTTTCGCTTACTTTGCGGTGCTCGCGCTGGCCGAGCTGGCAGAGGCCGTGCGGCAGTACTTCACGCTGCATTTTGGCTGCACCAGGCGCCGCGACGCGCTGGCCACCGTGATTTGGACGCGTTCCAGTACGGCCTCGGCGCGGGGCGGGGCGGGGCAGGGCGGGGCGGTTCATGAGACTATGAGGTAGGCGAGATTAAGGGGAGAGGCTGGCCGGCAACAGGGCGAGGATCACAGACAATGGCCGGTATCAGCCTCTCCATCCATCTTGCTCTCCTCCAGCGTGCTGGCCGGGCTCCGGCGAGGGCCGCCCGCTTGGCCCTTGTTTGTTTTTCCTTGTCGGCCTGCTCACTACACTGTATCCACAGCATAGACCGGCCGGAAGGCGGCCAAAAGGGCGAGGCGGGCGCGGCCGGCCTTTGATGTGGCGCGGCGAGCAGCTGCAGGTGCGGCGCCCGCGCGGTGCGCCGAGGCCTTGGAGGCCTTGGCCGAGGCTGTATTCGGCCAGCCGTGTGCAAACCGTGTTCTCATTAGCGCAGCAGCGCGGCCTGGTGCACGCGGGTAGACTTCCAAGCCGGCGTCTTCCTGGCGGCCCCGCAGTGCTCGCCAGGCTGCAGGGCCACTCCAACTCCACCCCGTCCAAGTCCTTCCGCCGGCAGAGCCACGGCGGCAGCAGCCCATTCTCGGCTGATCTCCGCGCCGCCGCCGTGCTGCGCGCTCCGCCGCTCCGCCGCTCCGCTCTTCTGCAGGCTCCTTGCGCCGAACGAGGAGGCGCAAATTACTCCGGCCAGGCTTAGGCGCTAACGCAGAACGCAGGGCGGGGCACGGCAGGGTAGCAGTCATACCGCACTGCCCATCCCAGCCGGCTTGCCCGGCTTGCCCGGCCCGGGATTACGACCGCTATGTTTTATTCGGCGGCTCGGCTCCGTCTCTCTCTTTGGTCTCTCTCCGTCTCGCTCCGTCTCGCTGAGCCGCCACCCTCCTCTGTTGCAGGGAGACGAGAATCTGATGTACGGACAGGCCCCGTGGGGTCGGTCGGTGGACGTGGACCCCGACGGCCAGAACCGCGTCGCCGCCTCGGGCCGGCCCACCTCCCGCGTGGGGCCCATGGGGCCGACGCCGCGTCGAAGCCAGCCTGCCGCCACAGTGTCCAACCACAGCGGCGGCCCCGTGAGCCCCGGCCGCTACCTCGCCAACCGCAAGGAGTACGAGGACGACGAGGAGGAGGACTCAGTGGCATGCTCCTCGGTGTCCGACTGACCTCAGGGGTGCGCCGGGCAGCTGGGCCTGGCGTGTACCCGCGGCTACGACGACGACAGCGACGCGCTGGACGGCGTCCCCCCAGCACCGCAGCCCCCCATGGCCAGGAGGGGCTCGCAAGGACAAGTACTGCACCGCTCGCCCGGGGCCCGCGTCCCGCAGCCCCAGCAGGGGCCCCCGCACTCGCAAGGGCACTGGGGCTCCCAGGGCGACGGCGTGCACCAAGGACACTACGCCGGCGACGTGCCGCACGCCGGCCAGGGCGGTTTTCGCGGCTCGCAAGGTGACGGCATCCATGGCAACCAGAGCCAGCTGCAAGGCCCGCAGCACCAGGGCCCGCCACATCAGGGCCCGCCACATCAGGGCCCGCCACATCAGGGCCCGCCACATCAGAGTCCACATCAGGTTCCACATCAAGGCCCACATCAGGGCCCGCAGCACCAGGGCCCGCAACATCAGGCGCCACAGCACCAGGGCTACCAGACGGACACGGCGCACGTCAAGCAGAGCTACAGGAGCTCCCAGCCGGACCACGGGTTCAGAGGGTCGCAGGGGGAAGGGGGCCACGGGGGCCACGGCTCCAGGGGCCCGCAGGGTGACGGCATGCACGGCAGGGGCTCGCAGGGCGACGGAATGCACCAGGGTATGCGCGGGCCCCAGGCTGACGGCATGCACCAAGGCATGCGGCAGAGTGACGGCATGCACAGTCAGGGTATGCGGGGCTCTCCAGGGGATGGTATGCACAGCAATCAGGGTATGCGGGGGTCACCTGGTGATGGAATGCACAGCAATCAGGGTATGCGGGGGTCACCAGGTGACAGCATGCATGGAAACCAAGGCATGCGGGGGTCACCAGGTGACAGCATGCATGGAAACCAAGGTATGCGGGGGTCACCAGGTGACAGCATGCATGGAAACCAAGGTATGCGCGGATCCCCTGGTGATGGCATGCATGGTAACCAAGGTATGCGCGGCCCTCCGGGCGACGGCATGCACCAAGGTATGCGGGGGTCCCAGGGCGACGGCATGCACATGAACCAAGGTATGCGTGCGCCGCAGAGTGACGGAGTGCATGGTAGCCAAGGACATCAGGGTCACCAAGGCCATCAAGGCTACCACAGCGACGTGCCCCATGGGAACCAAGGATTCCGTGGCTCGCAAGGGGACGGCATACATGGTGGCCAAGGACACCAAGTGTACCAAAGTGAACCGCATCACGGCAACCAGGGTTTCCGTGGCTCCCAGAACGACGGCCACCAGGGGTACCAAACTGACGTCCCTCGTGGCAGCCAGGGTCAGCAAGGCTACCAGAGCGACGGTGCCCGCGGCAGCCAGGGCTTCCGCGGGTCCCAGGGCGACGGCATCCACAGCCAGGGCCACCAGAGCTACCAGGGCGACATGTCGCACGGCTCGCAAGGCTTCCGCGGCTCCCAGGGCGAGGGGCTCCCGCACAGTCACATGCAGCAGTCTTACGGATTCCGCGGCTCCCAAGGCGAAGGGCTCCAGGGCCCCTACGGCCTCCGCGGCCCCGAAGGGATTCCCGGGTCCTACGGCCAGAGGGGCTCCCACGGGGAGGGGCTGCAGAGCGCCCACACCCATAGGGACTCCCAGGGGCTGCGCAAGTCGCAGGGCCTGCGGGGCTCCCAGGGCGAAGGACTGCCGGTGTCTCAGGGCATGCGGAGCTCGCAGGGCGACGGCTATGGCTCCCAGAAGCTGCACCACCGCTCGCAGGAGCTGCGCGGCTCGCACGGGGACGGCCTGCACCGCGCGCACCCCCCGCCGCCGCAGCAGCCGCCGGGCCCCGGTCACAGTGGCGTGGAGAGGCTCTTCTGAGCGCCCATCGCCCTTTGCTCAAAGTCCAAGCCCTTGTCCTGCATCGGTTACCTTCATTTAGCGTCTGTGTTGTAGCTGTGCAGTGGTGGCTGTAATTTTCTTTCCTTCCGTTAACAATATTGACTGTAAATATCTAGATTTTAAGAGTCTAAAATTTGAGTTGGGACAATCCATGGCGAAAGAATCAAAACAATAGAACTGCACGCTTTGTCCCGCCACAATGTGAGCCTCTGGAATTGAACGTAGCTCTTGTGTATACTCGTGTCAGGGTGTTGTGTTAAGGGAGCGCCCCAAGGTTTGACTAAAGTCGGCGTTAAGCCACCGTGAGAACGTGGATACCCAGATATTTGGAAAAAGATGGTTGTGAAAGGTCAGTAATAAACTGATGTTTCTCTTAACTTATTACGCCTGTGCCAATATCTATGTAATATGTGTAATATATGTCGTGTGCAAACATGTATGAATATACTGTACAGATAGACCCCACGAGCCTCCTACTCTATCTATGTTAGGCCTTTTCTGTGATCTATATAAATATTAATGTCTTAAGCATCTTCAATATTTTCCATCGAACTTGCCTCCCCGCCTATTTCGGAGAAGTTTCGCTGTGGGAAAACTACACATCAAAAACTGTTATGTATATAAATATGTAGTATTTGTAAATACTTTTAGGGGAAAATCGTTGACTTTTATGAATTTTCCTTTCGGTGTAATTAATCCTATTTTGTTTTTTATGTCTATGTGCCTTGATACGAGCTGTACCCATCTACCCGACTTCCGATCTCCTTCTAGGCAGTTCCTACTCTGAATCCGACCCAAGCATGTAAACTTCCAAGACAGTTGGTCTCCTTCCGCTTTACGAATCCTCGAATCTCGCATTCTCGACTTAGTTCATCAAACGCTCAATAAACTTGGTTTTGTGATAGATGTTTTTTTGTGATAGAAACTTCCTTAGATAGAAATAAATTTCAACGGCGCACATTGACTGATGGGGCAATGTGCGCTCGGAAAATTGATGCAATGTTACGATGTGTTCTTCATTTTATTTTTCTCAGTCGCAGACCCGCTCTCTTTGGCACTCACACAGACACACACACACACTCACTCACGAACGCGGAGTAATTTGTATTTATGTCCGTTGGCGCTTCCTCTTTGAAAGGCGGGAGCGCCGCACTCTGCTTTTCCCGCCAAAAACGACTCGCCGACGCGTCAACCCCTCGCAGGGGCTGGCAGGTCGCAAGGGCACTCCGCCGCCACACCCGAACTCGTCGGCTTCTCAACGCCGCATTCAACGCCGCATTCAACGCCGCATTCAACGCCGCATTCAGCGCCGCATTCAGCGCCGCGTTTCGCTTCGTGTTTTTGCTGGCCGTTGTTGGCCGCGCGGCTCACACGCCCCTTTTTTGCCCGGCCGGTGCGGCGCGGTCTTGCCGCCACACTGCGGGCGAGGCGCTGAGCGCGGCTCTCTGTCTCTCTCGCACCCCCACGGGGCGTCGCGTGGGTGCGAGAGAGACAGGGCGCCCCGGTCCGGGGGCAGCCTGCTGCGGGCGCGGCGGGCCACGGTGCTGATAGTCTGGCGCCGCCGCCCCCGGGGCTGGCTCCGTTCTGGCTGAGTGGTGCGGGGGCGGGGGTGGGCCGGGGGCGGGCCGGGGGCGGCACGCCGGATAACCCTGCCCTCGCCGTGCACCTTGTTTACCCCTCCAATTACCCTTCCTCTAGTTGGATGTCGGTGCCCCCCCCCCTTTCTTTCCCCGCGGCAAGACGTCCGTCCGCGTCACTTGCGGCAAGCAATAAGGGCGGCCATGTGTTGCCGCCACGTCGTTCCTGCGAATCCCCCTTTTTTTCCGCGGCGAAAAATAACATCTCCTGGAGCGCATAATTGCAAAATCACGAGAAGGGTAGCCTAGCAGCCTGCCTGACCAGGACGGTTCGTTTCCGACTGGAAGAGAAATTCAGGTCACCAGCACACCCCAAAAACCACCACCCAATTCACCAAAAATTCTCATTCAACGAACGTTAATGAAAGCAGATGATCCCTCGCGTTTCACAACTGCTGTGATAGCCGAGAGGGTAGAGACGTGGGATCGAGTTACCGCAGGCGCTCGTTCGAATACCAGCGTCACATACGTTTTTTCGACTTACTATCCTAAGGGTGGTCGTTCGTGGCCATCCGAGCGGAGCCGTGTGCAACAGACCCACATGCCGGAGGTTCGACTCCTAACAAATATTTCCATTTAATTTTACTGCCTCACCCAGTGCGGTTGAAACCCGTGAACGTGAGCCCACTCCTTGCACGGGACGTGGTGGTCCAGGGAGTAGAGGCGTCGGTTCCCAATGCTAGGGTCGGCGGTTCGACTCCCCCAACTTCTTGCGAAATTTTGACCGGGTCGGTCGAGTCCTGTTGCGTCAAGAACCCACCTCACACCGGTCCCCTCATCATGGGCCGTGGTGGCTGAGAGCGTAAAGTCGTGTGATCTCGGTGGCGGGGTCCGGGGATCGAATCTCATCATTTCGTTACATTTTTCGACTGCCTTCCTCCCACTGCAACTCAAACCCGTCGTCCAACACGCTGCCAGACGTACAAGCGTGATAGCGTAGTGGTCAGAGTCACATTCACCTGGCCACTCCGCTGTGGGTGTCTAAAAAGCAATCCGCTTCGGCGGGTTGGCCTCGGCACTGGAGCGATGGAGTATTTGATCCATCAATCCAGACCATCCGGTGTGTGGTTGCGGGTGGTGCCTCCTTGACTCGTCGGGGAGGCGATGATAAGTCCTTTGAAGCTGGCCTAAAACGCTGTATGTTCGGTACGGGAGCGCCGGACAGTGGGGGTACCATGGGGTACACAACCAACCCTACGAAAACAAAAAGCTCCCACCAAACCTCGTCTCTGTCTGAGTCTCTCTCTGTCTCTCTGTCGTCTCACTCTACGTCCCGCCCCTCAAAGAGCTTCGTACTGGGTGCTCTCACCCAGCTGCCTGAGCTTTGGGGTCCTACTGGGTCCCCCGGCGAACGCTTAGAGTCGCTGACGGGATTAACCCCAGGTACCTGATAGCACCGGTTCCCATCCCGAACACCGAAGTAAAGCAGGAGGCCTCCCCATTAAGACTGGGGAGGGGGTGTAGAGTTCAAATTTTTTTCTTTTCCCTTTCAAATTTCTCAGTCAATACTCGTTCGGTTTCCTTATACGGGGTAGTATGCGGGCTCATTCCAAAGATAGTAATTAAAATTGTGTATGAAACAAAATATATAGACCCGAGCGAGGTGGCCGGTGATGGTTAGGTTGCAGGGGTGGCAGGATTGTCGAATTCCGCGCAGGCTGCGCCTCATTGCCAGCCAGCCAGCCACACGCACCAGCCCGCCCCGGCAGCCAGCCCCTATTATATTGTTTAGCATACGCGCTTCGTTTCTGGACTCGAGAGTAAAAGCACGCTGACACCTTCATGTGTATAGTAATTTTAAGTATGTTTCAAGTGTGAAGGTATCATCTGCTAAAAAGTTGAACTAAATGAGCGCCTCTGGAGGGAATTGAACCCGGGCCCCGCCGCGCCGCCGCGTTCATCCGCTTTGCCGGGCGTGTCAACGCCTCGGCGCCAAAGCGCCCTGCCCGTCCGCCGCTAATCCCCGGGCCGCGGTGGCTCGGCGGCGAGGCGAGGCGTCGGGTGTCGGTTCTAGTCGGCTTGCTTGCTGGTGGCGGCCTGCCGGCCTGCTGGCCCTGGTGGCGGCTGGCCGGGGCTGTGGCTCCAGACGGGGCGCGCGACGAGACAACACCCTTGACGGCGTACTCCAGTTGCTTTGTGCCCGGCTTGTGTGGGGCAGCCGGGGGGTGCGGGTGATTGCGAGAGATTTATGGCATCAGGGGGCGGGGTGGGGCGGCTCGCCACGGCGCGGCTGACTGCGTTACCGTCAGCAGTCCCAACTACTAACAGTGCATCAGGGGGCGACGCCCACCCTTTTACGTGGCCGGCGGTACACTTGGTGACAAAACGGTCCGGAGGTGGGGCGGGGTCACGGCCCCGCCGTCTCTCAGCTTCCTTCCTGCCCGGTCCCCTGGCGGCCGAGCGCTTTGCCGCTTTTCTAGATTCCAGGTGGGCGGAGAGGTAAGCCAAGCCCTTCTTGGCCATCCCCGGCACGAACCACAACACCCACGTCCAGTCCCTCGGCCGGCCTGGGCAGCCCTGGGCAGCCCTGGGCAGCCCTCGGCACGAGGCAGGACTTCTCATTCAATGCGGTTCAATTTAGCGGCCGTGTCTTGAAGGGAGGGGGTGGGCTCGGATCGGTGGCGGACTACCTAGGCCCTGCTGGGAAGGGCTGGGGAGGGCTGGAGAGGGAAGGGAGGGGGAGCAGTGATTTATACTCCCAGCAGCAGTGCCGTTATGGGAAACCGATCCCCGGTGTGTTAGCAGGGTCCACGACACCACCTCCTCGCTCCTCGCCGCGCTCCTCCCACTTGGCGACCCGGACCACCGCCACTAGCAGCAGCAGCACCGCCGCGGCTACTTGAACACCGCCGTCCTTACCACCTACTATCTCTGCCAACGCACGCACACGCACACACACACACACACACACACACTCGCACACGAACACGAACACGGCCGTAATATATGCGCCCTGCACGCGGCCGCGCCCGCGGCTGTGGCTTAATCGCGTGTGCAAACTTCAGCCAGGCCGGGCCGGGTCGGGCCGCAGACAATGCCAGAGAAACAATACACGGCAGCGCGTTTTGGACCCTCGCCGTCAGCGACGCGGACTCGGACCTGGACGACGCCCAGCTCGACGTGCTGGCGGAATGAAGTCGGCGGTCGGTGCACAGGGTGCGTGCGGGCGCGCGAGCTGCCGCGGGGCGGGGCGGGGCGGGGCGGGGCGGGGCGGGGCGGCCCATCCCCGTGGGGAATCTAAAGGTAAAGTGGGTTCTCCCTCCTCCCTCTACTCTATTCCCGCACACGTCCTTGCGTCACGGCCAGCGCTCCAGGTCCCGTCCAACTTTCCCCGTATCGTGGCGGAGCGCGAAGCGCGAAGCCAAGCGAGGCACGGCCCGGGGCGCGCGCGCGAGGCCGGCTGAGGCCAGGCTGAGGCCGTGGCCGGGGTGGCCGGGGCTGCGACCGGGACCGAGGCCATCCCGCACCGCGCCGCCGATGCCACGGCATGCCGCCGCGCCGCCGAGGCCTTGGAACTGTTTGGAGGACGCGAGTCGACGCGAGACGTGGATTCATGGCGGCAAGTTGCGAGTAATAAGGAGCAGGGCGACGCAGCCAGCCAGCCCGCCAGCCAGCCAGCCAGCCAGCCAGCCAGCCAGCCCGGCACTGCGGCGGACATCGAGTTCATCTAATTCCGGCCTCGAATTACTACACGGGCATCTTCTCACTTTACGCAACCGCGAGAAAAAAGAGAAACATTCCGGGCCGCTTTCACAGTGCCCTAGCCGCACAGCGGCGCGGCGCGGCACGGTGGCAAAGGAACGGAGGGCCTCGCCGCGCCCCGCCGCGCCCCGCCAGCCCTCCCTACCTGTTGAGTCCCGCGGTGCGAGCTTCGAGCGCCACCAACGCCCCTATACACAATTATTTCATTCCTTTCTTTTGCGCAATATCGCGTTCTTTTTGCTCAGAGTCCTAATTTATTAGACGCCTTTCAACGGGGCACTCCAATTATTTCGGACACACCCCCACGCTGTGAGGGAACGGCGAGGCGGCACGTAATGTATCAACGGGTTATCGCGCGGCCGAGAGCGCCGAGGCGTCGATAACGAACCTTCGGCATTGATGTGAGCTTATTAACCGGCCCTCAGAGTGTAGTGATTCGAAAACGTCGTCTGCCATACAGACAGCTGTGCCCAAAAGTGACCACCCGAAGACCAGCTCCCCTGTCCGTCCAAAAGAGCATTTCATCTGCCCAAGCCCAAGAGCCTGGAAAACTTATTGCATACACCCCACCGCATTCCCTTGCTGGCCCTGCTCGCCATCTTTCACGTGACCCAGCGGCACGCGTAGGGCTGCGGTCCAATAGGCGTGCCTGCCGCACAGTGGGCC